TTACCTAAGTATAGATAATATGAGATATAGGTATAATATATAATTATGCCTGTACCTTATATACGGATTTATGTTATATATGTTATATATAAATATAATAGGTATATTATGTATAGGTCATATCTTTTATATATAGTGTATATAGATATAATCCTTAATATATATTATCTATTATATATATTTAGTATAGGTACAAAATATAATACAATAATAAATAAAATATAAAATAAATATGTAACAAATATATGTTATACACTTACATGTTAAATAGATCATTATATTACATTTATATTATGTATAAGTGCATTGCATATGATATAGAGTGTGATGGGTATAATAACAACTGTGGGAGTTGAGCAATACAGCCCGTGGGGACGCTCTGAGGGTTAAGTGGTACGATCATGAGTACAAAGTGCTGGGCCTGCTTCGTACTCAGAATTTAACAAGAGGTGATTGTTATTATAAGAGACATACACTCCACGGCCCTAGAGTGTGGGAACAGCTTTCTATCCATATCTCTCAGTAGTGTATGGCTGGGTGGGCAGGTAGGTGGGTCAATGTCTTGAGGCTGGAGGTGATGCTGAAACACGGACAGGTCACACTTTCAGACAGACCCAGCCAAAGGGCATGTGTGTCTCTCTGGCCATTTAGTCTGTTGAGTCTTTAGAAATGCCCCAGCCCTGCATCCAGACTGAGTAACATTAGCTTTTTGATCTCACTATTTGAAAACCCCAACTCTCTGCAGGAAAATGTCACCAAACCATGCTGTGGTCACTGTTCTGGGGCCACCGCCACCCATTGCAGCATGACCCCAGGCACCTTGTTGTGCCCATCAAGACCTGTGACAGGATGTGGCTGTTGTGGCTTCATCTGGCACCTTCCAGGATTGCTCACCCTATCAACAGTATCCTCTGTGTACCTGCCACACACCCGGGGCTTTCAGAGGCTACCCTCCCAGGGGGAGGAGGCTTTAGGCCTGTGGTGTGCTAGTTGTTTATGGAGGGCATCGCCCTGATGGCGGCAGCTTCTGTTAACTCGGGTTTCCCAAGTTTCTGCCTTAGGGGCTGGCAAGGAGAGAGAGGGAAGGATCAACAGAGAGAGAGAGAGTTAGACTATGTGGTGATTCTTACCCAGGCCTGAGAAGGATGGGGCAGCCACCAGAGTGGATGCCATGTGTATGCATCGCCCCGACCCTGAAGGCCGTGGACTGGACAGAGAACAGCTGTACTGGGAGCTGAGCCAGCTGACCCATGGCATTGCCCTGCTGGGCCACTACACCCTGGACAGGAACAGTCTCTGTGTCAATGGTGAGCAACCGTGATGTGGTCAGAGTCTTTTCCCCCTCACCGGGCAGCCTCTGCCATCCGGCTTGAGAATGCACGCCCTGTCCGGCCCTTAGGGGCTTGGCCCTGTGCACTGGATGTGCTGATTCGTGGTCTCCTCTTCATCTTGGACTGACTTCACCCTCAGAGCCTTCCTTCCTAATGGGTGCTGATGGAGAACCCCCTCCACTGCACCGGTGTAGCCCTGCCTCCTGTTTGGTCCTCTGCCTCTCCCTAACCCTTACCCACAATCTTCCCTCCCTCTCCCTACAGGTTTCACCCATCAGAGCTCTGCACCCATCACCAACAGTGAGTATTCAACTATGACCCAGGGCCCCTCAACACACAGGTCAGACAAAGCGCTGATGCCTCCTCATGCCTGCTTATGTCGTCTCCAGGAGGGATGGATCTCCTGGAGACCACAAGTTATTTACTCTCTTCTCTGCCCCAGTTCCAGAGGGAATCTCAGCTCAAGTCACATATGCAGCAAGCCTAATAAATAGTCTGTCTTGTTGGCATTTCTGCTATGTGATTGTCTTTCTGCTTTCACTGATGAGAGCTTTTCCGCAGCTCCAGGGACCTCCACAGTGCACCTGGGAACCTCTGGGATTCCATCCTCCTTCCCCAGCCCCAGCCCCACAGGTAAGTACCAGTCAATGGCACATCTGTTAGAGAGGGCCTGATGAGTGTAAACACATTTGACATTATTCACTCAAATAAAGATGGAAAGTCGTAGTAATACTAGTGATGATGAGTCAGTCAACAACCTTTATTGAGCACCTACTCTGTGCCAGGCCCTGGGGAATATAGCAGGGAACACAAAACAGAAAAAAAAATCATTGCCTTCACAAAGCTTATATTCTTATGGTAATGATGATGATGGTGATGGTGATGATGATGTGATGGTGATGATGGTGGTGGTGATGGTGACAATGATGGTGATGGTGATGGTGACAATGGTGATGGTAATGGTGATGGTGGTGGTGATGATGATGGTGATGGTGGTGGTGATGATGGTGGTGGTGGTGATGGTGGTGTTGATGGTGACAGTGATGGTGATGGTGATGATGGTGATGATGGTGGTGATGCTGCTGATGATGGTGGTGATGGTGACAATGATGATGATGGTGATAATGGTGATGGTGGTGGTGATGATGACAATGATGGTGATGGTGATGGTGGTGATGATAGTGATGCTGGTGATGGTGGTGATGATGGTGGTGGTGATGGTGGTGGTGGTGGTGGTGGTGGTGGTAATGATGGCGATGATGATGGTGATGATGGAGGTGATGACAATGATAATGGTGGTGATCGTGGTGGTAATAATGGTGGTGATGGTGATAATGATGATGATAATGGTAATGGTGATGGTGATGATGGTGATGTTAGGTCATTTATGCATGGTAAGTGTAAATCCACAGGAAATATGTGGATTTTTCTCAGGATAAGAAGGAATGAAATACACTTTCTTGTAATGTGTAGAAATGCTCCCTTCTTGTCCTTGTTCAAATCTTTAAGGACTGTCAGATTCTGTCTAGGACAAACATATGACATCTGTGCCATCACTCCCCAATCCCTCATCCATGGCAGACATCACTAAATGGTAACAGCCTCCACTCTTTCTGAGTTCAAAACAGCTCCAGAATCCTTACCGACAAAATACCCTAGGCAGTCGCTACCAATTCAGTTGAAGTTGCCATGGGATTGTGGGACAGAATTCAAGGAAATTAGGTTCCTTGTTGTGTGGAAGGCTCTTTGGTTTTCCTGGAAGACATTCGTGAGTTGGAAGACTCTGCTCAAGCTCAGGTGGGTCATGACTGAGAACAGGCTTGATCCAAGCCTGTTCACACCTCTTCCTGACCCGTGTCCAGGAAAAGTTAGCGGCAAGTTTGGCCTGCACCTTTGGTTTTTCCTGCAGGAGGAGGTGTACATTCACAGCTCTTCTGGGGATTCACTGAGGGATCAGACACTTGGAGAAGGGGGTGCGCAGGTGGCAGAGGGATAGTCTGCAGATGACCTGATACAGAAATTCCTCCCTGGGTTTCGGTGGCATTTTCTGGAGTTTGTCTACTGGGTCTGCACTTTGAGGGTGCTCTCTAAATGGTACTTACATAAATAGATTCATAGACACCCAAAGAACCCCAGATTCTTGCCATTTCCTCCCTCCCCCCATCCTTACAACTCTTAATACTTTCTCTTCCTGTCCTTCTGCAGGTTACACACATCAGGTCCTGACCTCCACCCCCAGCAGTGAGTAGTAATTTGGGTCCTAACATTGCTCTGCCTTGGGGCCCATCTCTCCTCCTCACTATGTCTACCCCACGTCCCCAGGGACACAAGGGGCCTGGAAAGCTCCAGTCTTTCCCCACCTTCACTTCTGGGATCAGAAAAGACAAGGCTGGCACAGGCCTGAGGAGTGTCTCATGGACCAGTGATGGGCCCCGTTTGGCTGGGAAGGACTTCCCTCCTGCCATATTTGCCTCACTGTGTTTTCTTCTCTGTTGCACCAGCCTCTACCATCTCCCCAGTGACCTCAGCGACCCCCATCCCTACCTCCACAGGTAAGAGATTCCTCTCTGCCATTCCTCCCCTGCAAATGTCTTGTGCACTGGCCAGTGGGAGGTATCACATGGAGCACCATGCCCACTCATTCATTCATTCATTCGTTCACTCAAAAAGGATTCATTTAGCCCTTAATGGATGAAAGGCCCTGGTAATGCAGCGGTGAACGGAATAGAAAGGGCCTTAGTCTTTGATGGGCTTCCAGCAAGAAAGAGAATAAGGACTCGAGTGTACAAATAAGTATTGAATTACAGGGGCGCTTGGGTGGCTCAGTTGGTTAAGCGACTGCCTTCGGCTCAGGTCATGATCCTGGAGTCCCAGGATCGAGTCCCGCATCGGGCTCCCTGCTCAGCGGGGAGTCTGCTTCTCCCTCTGACCCTCTTCCCTCTCGTGCTCTCTCTCATTCTCTCTCTCTCAAATAAATAAATAAAAAATCTTAAAAAAAGTATTGAATTACAATCAGCATGGCCATGGGGTGAGTTCTGCAGGTGTGGGGAGGGCCTCTCTTTCTTGAGTACTTGGTTTTCATTTCTAAGAAAGAAGGGAGCAGTATGAGCTACATGTGTACCTGAAAATGCCCTCATACAGGTCCTGGTTAGGGATTTGGGCAGACTCTGGTTGGGCCAAGGGCTAACTTACCATTCTTGGCATCTCAGTGGCCCAAGATAAATTTTGATACCACCCACTGACCCTGATAAGGGTCCTGGATGGCCCATCATTACTAACACTGTCTTACTTGAGTCTCTAGTTACTCACCAGCTAGGACCTTCTGAAGGTCTTCTGACCACTGACCACTCAGGCCAGAGTGAGCAGGTCACTGTATGGACCTGCCCTTGGTGCTAAGGTGGATGGGTTAGGAGCACAGACTCTGTGACCACAATGCCCAGGTTTGAACTATGCTCTGCCATTTATAGATTGTGTGACTGCAGGCAAATTATTTAACCATGCTTGGGTTCAGTTTTTACATCTGTAAAATGGGGATAAGAATACTATCTCCCTCTGAAGGGTTTGCCTCAAGGCTTAAATGGGTTAAAATTTAAGTGAAGCACTTAAAACAGGGCCTGACCCATACAAATGCAATGTGTTTCTTCAAATAAATCTTTAAAAATCAATAAATAATTGGATCTCACAGAAATAATTTGGGTTAAAAAAAAAAAACCTGGAGAAAAAGGGGATGTCTGTCTGGAATTTTAGCCAACTGGAGGGTCAGAATGTTTGCTTTCTGTGTGATGATGCATTTACCTCCATAGTGTAATTTTCCACACTTCTCCCCAGAGTCCCTCACTTAATGCTACTGTCTGGGATCTCCTTCCTATTGAAACTGCCCATCTTGGAGGAAGCCCCTCCCCAGTGCTTGAAGAGAAAATTTGTGGGATGACCCACACTTAGGCTCACTGGCGTCTCCCTCCTGCCCCCACTGCAGCCACTGGTCCTGCCCTGGTGCTGTTTACTCTCAACTTCACCATCACTAACCTGCACCACCAGGAGGGTATGAGTCACCCTGGTTCCTGGAGGTTCAACACCACCCAGAGAAACTTGCAGCACCTGGTGAGAGCCCCACCCTCAGCACTCCTGCCTCGTCCACCAACACAGGCACCAGCTACCTGTTCTCTGCCATGCCCACAGAGACCCCATGCAAGCCCCACCCACTAGCGCCAGCCCCACCCATTTCATTTCTACCCGGTTCTCCATCCCTCAGACTTTCTACTCACTTCCCTCTCCTTTACAGCTAGGACCCTTGTTCAAGAACACCAGTGTGGGCCCCCTGTACTCAGGCTGCAGACTCACCTTGCTCAGGTGAGTCCTTGCAATCCACGGCCAGGGCTGCCTCAAGGGCTCCCAGACCCCAGGAGTTCCCTCTGCTTCCTTCCTGCCTTCTCTGTCCATGTCCTCAGCAGAAGTGGAATTCGGGAGGCACTGGGTCCAGGACCAAGGCCTCTCTCTTCTGATTGTAACCAACCCCCATCCCGCCAACTGTCCCCAGATTCTGCAGAGCCCCTCAGCAGAATCAACTGTCAGGGTTTGGGTCTCTGAATATTTGTTTAATTAAACAGTTAATTAATGAGTATTTGGCACCAGGGCTAGGTATGGTACATCAATCATTTCTGAACGCCATGACATTCCAACAAAAGGGTTAGGCCGTTATCCACGCTACAAAGATGGGAGAACCAAGTCAGACACACTTATGTGGATTCTTCAACAAGTGACAGAGCTAAGGTTTGAACCGGGGGTCATCTGACTCTAGAACACCCACTCTGGTCCTTGGTTGCACAAGGATGCCCCTTCTCTTACGAGCAGCTCATGTCTGGACCAAGAGAGCAGATAAGCAGGCATTCACATACCAGTGGGCTGTGATGTGACAGAGGATGCCCCTCTGTCCTGTTCCCATACCCATGTCCTTCTCCCCCCTCTCCCAGGCCTGAAAAGGGTGGAGCAGCCACTGGAGTTGACGCTATCTGCACCTACCAACCTGACGCCTCAGGTCTCCAGCTGGATAGGGAGCGGCTCTACTGGGAGCTGAGCCAGCAGACCCATGGTGTCACCCAGCTCGGTTCCTACATCCTGGACAGGGACAGTCTCTGTGTCAATGGTGAGCATCTCTGTGGTGACAGGGGTCTCCTCCTGCACCCCAGATGGATTATTCTCTTGATGCTCTGAGCTCTGGCCAGAGGACATGTCCATGTCTGCCTCTAGACTTTTCTCTCCTCATTCTTCCTTTCCTTGTGAGATCCCCCTTCCCTACCAAGGGCTACATCACACACAGGGAGGTGAGAGGTCAGAGAAAGGTTATAGGAGGTACCATCTACTATGTGGCAGGGACAGGACCTTCTGATGGCAACTTTTCTTCCACCAATGGCCCAGCCCCTTCATCCCTCACTTAAGCCTTTCAAACATCCCACCTCTCTCTTATCCACTCTCTGCAGGTTACACCAGACCACCACCGACCTCCATCCCCAGTGGTAAGTGCTCAAATCCTAGATGGCCCCATGCCCCCACACCTTGTGGGAACAGCTGCTCCCTCTACCCTAAGCCCAGGGCTTCATGGAGGAAGGGAGCCTTTGCAGCCTTGTCACCCACCTTTCCCCACCTCTGCCTTCCATGACTCTGGCTGGGCATCAAGCACCCCTGCCTCTGGCATCTCCAAGGAGATGGGGCTTCCTCTTATTGCTACTGCTTCCTTCTCAGTTCCTGTGACTTCCACGCCCTCAGAAGCCTCGGCAGCTCCAATCTCCTTCTCCAGCTCTACAGGTAAGAGCCGTCTCTCCACGTCTCCTTCCTTCCCACCCACACGCCTCTGCGCTTTGCAATGAGAAGGGCAAGAGAGTATGCACACGCAGCTCAAAGCAAGGGGACAGCGTGGGGAGGATGATCCTTGGACCACGCCCTCGTCACAGACCAGTCCAGCTCCATCCCTAGGTTGGGAGAGCTCTGTGACTCTAGGTTTTCAATCCCAGGCTGGAGCAGTGACTCCTTTTAATCCACCCTTTGCTTTCTGTGAAGGTTCTGTATCAGGTAAGTTTTACTACATAACAAAAGAACCTCAAATCTACTGGATTAAAATAATCATCTACTGCTTCTCACTAGTATATAGGTCAGCAGAACAGTTCCTTTGGTCTGAACCAGGCTCCCTTATGTGTCTGCCGTCACCTGAAGCTTATCTAGGTGACTCTGCTCTGGAGAATGCCTGACTGAAGGCTGGGGTGCCTCAGTCTCCTTCAGATGGCTTCTCATCATCCCACAGACTAGCCCTGGCTCCTTCATTTGCTGGTCGTGGGCTTCCTAGAAGTGGGAGAGGGCAAGCCTCGGTGCACAGGCACTTCCCAAGCTTCTGCTTGCATCACGTTTCTCTTGTCCCCTTGTTCAAAGCAAGTCGTGGCCAAGCCAGAGTCAGGAGGTGGAGAAAGAGACTCCCACCTGTCCACTGAAGCTGCTGCAAGACCACACTGCAAGGGTGCAGATGCACAGAGGTGAAGAATTTGTGGTCACTTTTACAGTCTACCCCAGGTGGCCTTCCAGGGACCAACTTGTGACCATGATGGCCTTAGGGACCCATTGGGGTCAGTTAGTGAGATTTGATGCACTGATACATTCTGGAACAAGTCTCAGAGCTTTACCTTCTGCTCAAATGGAATGGAAATAGTCAAGGGCAAATCCAGGACTAATTCCCAAAGGGCAGAGACTAAAGCAGAGGAAGCAGGTGTAAGTAGCAAGGACAAAGTGACTACAAAGCAATGACAGCAGTATTGACTGATTGTGTGTCACCCCATGAGCACCCTGCTTCACATGTACGGTCTTTGACCCCAGCAGATGGACACCGCTCGTTCTCTGTTTAAGAGAGTCATAGACTGGTTCTTGGGGGGCTGGGTGTTTTTCTGAGGTCACACAGCCAGTGGATGGGCAGGACTCATGTTTAAGTCATTGAAACTCTAGAATCTGAGCTTCAGTTCCCAAAATAGCTGTGTGGCCTTGGGGAAGTGACTTAACTTCTCTGAAATTTATTTTCAGCCTCTGTCATTTGGAGTAAAAGGATTCACTTCCAGGGTTTGTTTGAGGACATGAGATACTGGACGGAAAGTTCTTAGCACAGAGTGAGCTCTTACCAAACATCAGGTCTTATTATTACTGCTATTTTTAGTGTCATTATTAATATCATTACTATTAGTAGAATAACAAAATAAAGTTTCCCATTTGGAGCGGAGATATTCTGAGCTCTCGCACCAAATGAGAATACACTGGGCATCAGGGATGTGGATCCAGATTCTACCCCACCATCCCTAAATCCAGCTTAGGTGGTGACTCAAGGCATTGATTCTCTCCCAACCTCACTGCAGTCTCTGGCCCTGACCTGGTTCCATTCACCCTTAACTTCACCATCACCAACCTGCACTACACGGAGGACATGCAGCTTATGGGCTCAGCTAAGTTCAACAAAACAGAGAAGATCTTGCAGAGCCTGGTGAGAGCCCCACCCACATCATCCCTCCACCACCCACTAATGTCCACCTACCCACTGATGCCAGCCCCACCCACCTCTCCCATACCCCACCTAGCTCCCCCATGCCCTGCCCACCTCTCCCTGCCTCCCCCCTGGCACCAGTCCCACCCACCTTTCCCACATCCCACCTGCCTCCTGCATGCCCCACCCAGTCTCCCTGCTTCCCAACTGATGCCAGCCCCACTCAGCTCACCCCAACCCTGCCCCTGTCCGGCTCAGTCCTTCTACTCACCTCTATCTCCTTCAACAGCTCAGACCCTTATTCAAGAACACCAGTGTGGGCCCCCTCTACTCTGGCTGCAGACTGACCTTGCTCAGGTGAGTCCTTGCAATCCACGGCCAGGGCTGCCTCAAGGGCTCCCAGAACTCCGGTGTTCCCTCTGCTTCCTTCCTGCCTTCTCTGTCCATGTCCTCAGCAGGAGTGGAATTCAGGAGGCTCTGGCTTTTCTGATTCTAACCACCCCCCACCCTTCCAACTGTCCCCAGATTCTGCAGAGCCCCTCAGCAGGATGGAGACCCTAGTCTGGTTATCCTTCTGAATTCCCTTCTGTCTCCCTTTGACCAAAGAGGGCATTTCCTTTAGGTTTTCAGTCTGTCCCCAGGATGCAACTCTTAAGACAAGCATGTCTTTTCCACTTGCTTTAATCCGAAATTCTAGCTCTTCACTTGTCTCAAGTAGGAGCTCTCCTGTCCCCATGCCAGGAGCTTGCAGGTTTCAGACTTGCAATTTAATACAAATCCTCCTACCCATTGACTGTGTGCACAGCCCCAGGCTGGCCAGAGGTGGGTGTCAGCCTCACTTGCTCTGGCCCCTTCCTGTCCTACCCTAGGGGTCCTTGGAGCCCTGCCTGGGGACTCCATCTATTGTTACCCCTACCCACCCACCCCCAGGCCTGAGAAGGATGGGGCTGCCACTGGAGCGGATGCCATCTGCACCCACCGCCCTGACCCCGTGGGCCCTGGGCTGGACAGAGAGCGGCTGTACCAGGAGTTGAGCCAGCTGACCAGTGGCGTCACCAGGCTGGGTCCCTACACCCTGGACCCGGACAGTCTCTACATCAATGGTGAGGGATTGCCATCTGCATCCACATTTCAACAGGCCCCACGTCTTCCTCTCCATCCCTCCCTTTCACTCATTACTCATCCTCCTCACCCTTTCTCCCTTTACCGGTGCAGGTTACACCCGCCAGACCCGGGCCACCACCCCCAGCAGTGAGTATTCAGAGGCTTCAGAAGTCTCTGCAACCCTGTGAGTCCCTCTGCAACCTTAGAATGGAAGCGGCCAGGAGCCCACTGCCTGCCCTCTGCACCCCTGCTCCACCCCCAGCCTCAGGGGAACGGGGACCTATACCCATTAAAACCCCAGACGTAGGCGCTGGTCCCTGGCATCTGCAGGATGACAAGGTCCCCACCCCGAGCACTGGTTTGCTCCCAGCTTCCGGGATGACAGAGTGTACCTCAATGGTGAGGGCCGTGTTGGGCTGTGGGTCTCCTCCGCACGGACGGGGCTCTGCTGCATCAGGATTCTGCATGAGTTCAGACCTCCATTGGGGGTTCACATTTCCAAGTGCTTTGAGCAGGTCCTTTGTCTGTCTGGAGATGGGGGGAGGGCAAGTAGACTTTGATCCTTCCCAGTGCTTAATCGTCTTCCTTTTAAAGAATCCCAGCTGTGATGGTCCAGTGCCATCTCTCGAGCAGCCAAGTTGCCTCTTCACTGAGGACCTCTCCCTTCCCCTCCTCACTGTCGCTCCCTCTCTTCACAGGTTACACCTATCCAGCTTCAGCCACCACCCCCAACAGTGAGTATTTCAGACCTGTGTGTGCCTGGGACACCACCTTTTCCCTAAAGAAGCTGCTCAACCAGCCAGGCCTTCCCTCCCAGTCCCCCCTTCTGGATGGGAAGGAGTCCAGAGGATGTGCATGGAAGTGTGGGCTGAGCTGGAGGTGACAGGAGCCACCCCTCCCCACAACACAGCCGAGGACGATGCTCTGACCCCAGGCTACCTGGGACACAGAGACAGGCACACAGTTTATAACTAGAGCTACCACCACTGCCGCCCTTCCCTTACAGGTGTAACACACCTTTGATTTCATCCCTTGTGTTCTTTTCCCTCTGCTACTGTGAACTCCGCATCCTTCCCCATGCCCTCTCTGGCTCCATCCCTCAAGCCCACAAGTAGGAAGGTCCTACCGGTACCAAAACCATTTCTACAAAATCATTCATTCAAGATCACTTCTTCCCTCATTATTGCTTACTTAGCTTCCCCAAGGAAAATCATGCATTTCTGTGGGTTTCAGGGACCATCTAGCTGCTCAGGGTCCAGCTGTTCAGAATCCTAATCCTGAGTCCAGCCCACTCCACACAGCAGCTCTTGGCCCTTGGTCCACCCACCTCCTTGACATCACCCAACCCCTTGGTCTCTGACCCTGAAGTCACCATCTTCTCCCAAACTCACTCCTTTCCCTTATCACCAAAGGCAAGGACACAGGTGCCAAACTTGACCCTCCCTCTCACCCACCTCCCACATTAATCCATCACCAAATCATTTCTTCTCCCTTCATAATATCTTGTAAGTCCTTTCTCTGTCTCTGTGTCATTCAACCTTTATTCAGGCCACTGGCATTTTTTGCTAGGACTGGTGCAGTAGCCTCTACTCTGGTCTCCTACAGTCCTCTGCACAGCAGCCTCCAGCAGCCCTCCCAATGTACCTCTGTTCACATAATTCCTGTCTTGTGGCAGCCTTTGGATGACTCCACCTTATCTACAAGTCATGTCCAAACCCCTGAGCTGTATAGTTACTGCCCCCCTTTCAGGGCTCAGAGGACCCCTCCAGTCTCATGTCTATACTTCCACAAGGCGGTAATGAAAACATTCAAGCCCCTTGAGTGCAACTGCTCTGTCCTGTCAGGCTCATACCCAGACTGATTGTTCTGCTTGAGCACTCTTCCACTTGCTCAGCCCCTGTTCACCTAACTCTTACTCATGCTTTTGGTCACACCTGAAATGATGCTTCCTCCTGGAAGCTGTCCTCAGTCATTGGTTGGGTGCCTCCCTGGAACTGCACAGCCTCCCGCCTCCTCTGCAGCATAGCAGTCTGACTACTCTCCTGGCCACAGTATTAGGAGACTATGCCCTATTCACCCTTGGACCCACAGAGCCCAGCACAGAGCCTCGCACACATTAGATGCCCAATATACACTGGCTGAATGAATGAGCAAAAGTTCCCAATGTCTCAAAAATCCCATAACATTCTCTCCTTCAGCTTCTGCAGTCCGTGGCTGTACTTAGGCCCATTGCTGGGTGCTCCACTGTTAGAGCTCCAGGCAACCTTGGTCCTTACTATGATCCAAACTGGACATTTTTCTCTTCCTCCCCCACTACAGCCACTGGCCCCATTCTGGTGTCCTTCACCCTGAACTTCACCATCACCAACCTGCACTACACCGAAGACATGGGGCACCCATCTTCTTCCAAGTTCAACTCCACTGAGAGGATCCTCCAGCACCGGGTGAGAGCTCCTCAATGACCACCATCAGCCTCACCACACACCTGCTCGTGTAGTCCTTCAGCCCTTCTGCTTACCCCCCTCTCTTTCTCCACCAGCTCAGGCTTTTGTTCAACAAGACCAGTGTCGGCCCCTTCTACGCTGGCTGCAGACTGGCCTTGCTCAGGTGAGACCCCCCCCAGATGGAGGGATGCGTTGGGTCCAGTGGACCCTCACATATCGGCCAGGGCTCAGTTCCTGGGCATGCCTTTGGCACTGCTGGCCTCCGGCACCCACCATAACCCCTTCATGTGTTCTTCGTGCCCGGATGGTGGGAATGCTCAGTCCTTAGAAATGAAGCGTCATGTTTATACTTACAGAATCCAGATGATCGTTTGTTTTAGATGAAAGTTTTCTTCTTAGAAGAACAACTATATCTTGTCTTCATATTCCAGTTAAAGTGTTTTCTGTTCTTAGTTGTAAGGGGGTTGTCTCAGACAAGAGGCACCTAGGAGAGCCTCTCTGGGCTTGAGCCAGCCCTTTCTGTCCCCTCTCAGCCTCCTGCCTTCTACTGTCTCTTGCTTTCCAAATCCAGAAGGACCCCTCCTCAGTATTGCACATCCCTATGTCCTTCCTTCCCCAGGCTTGAGAAGGGTGGAGCCGCCACTGGAGTGGACATCACCTGCACCATCCACTCTGATCCTGCAGGCCCCAGGCTGGACAAAGAGCAGCTGTACCGGGAGCTGAGCCGTGAGACCTATGGCATCACCCAGCTGGGGTCCTTCACCCTGGACAGGGAAAGCCTCTACATCAATGGTGAGGGGCTGTGCTCCAGGCAGGGTCTCTCTCCTGGCCAGAGTTTTGTGTTTCTCCAGAAGGAGCTGTGGTACATCTCCTCCTCTAATCTCGGTTCAGTCTTCATTCTGATGATGTAACCATGGGCTCCAGCCACCTACAATCTCCTTGCCTGGATACCTCCTCCCTGAACATCCCTCCACTCCCTCTTCCCCTCTGCTTTTCCTACAAAGGCCCCTAAATCCTGCCTTTCCCTTAATCCTTTATGCTCACCCTGACTCTTGCTCATCTCCTCTGGCCTTCTCTCCGCAGGTTATAACTTTGGAGCCATGGCCCCGACTACCACTAGTGAGTATTCCTGGCCCTGGTTTCCTGGGTGCTGTCCCCACTCTGTTCTCCTTTACCTCCTGTCCTCGGTGAGGAAAACCCCTGAAGGGCCCTCACTCATCCCTTCTTTCCCTGGGTTCTGGTGGAGAGTCCCATCCCAGGGCAAGAGCATCTCACATAGAGGTCTGGCCTCCCACCATTCTGACCCTCGCATGGTTTATCACTCAGATTCTCCTAAAACCCTGCCCTGGTACTCTTCTCTTATTCTTTTACTCACCTGTCTGTTTGTTGTTCTGAGGGTGTCTCAACATCAGTGTTGCACCCGACGTTTGTTGGGTTTTCAGAGAACACGTATTGAAGCTGGCCGCCTTCCGGGCACCGTGCTATGTTACATACTGTCTCAGTCAGCTCTGGCAGCCACAGGCTGGGTGGCTCAGATGACAGAAATGTATTTTCTCACAGTGCTGGAGGCTGAAAGTCCAGATCAAGGTGCCAGCGGGGTTGGTCGCTCTGAAGCCTCTCTCCTTGCGTGCGGGTACCACCCTCTTGCTGCCTCTCGGCATGGTCAATCCTTTGCACACACAAAGTGTGTCCTAATCTCCTTTTTTTATACCAACAGCACCCAGATTGGATTAGGGCCCACCCCAAAAGCCTCATTTTAGCTCAGTTACCTCTCTAAAGTCCCTGTCTCCAAATGCAATCACCTACTGAGGTACTAGGGATTGGAGCTTCTTGAATTTTGATGTGTGTGTGCAGGGTGGGAGGGAGACACAATTCCTCCAAAAACACATGCACTTTATCCTTTTGTTCTCGATACAACCATGTGACTTAGTTCCATTTTACAGATGAGTACGCTCAGGCTTGGAGAGGCTGCCAAGCCACACAGCAAATAAATAATAGAACCAAGAGGTCCTGTGACTCTGAAAACTCACAGTCTCACTTTTCCATCAGTTAATTTCTTTAAAAAGACATGCTGATTTTGGGTGTACACCTGTTGTGTTCAAGTTCATCCCCAGCAAGCCCTGGAATGAGGACCTTGTAGGTTTTTCAAGAATTAATTGCCCTTGCATTAGAGGTGTGTTTTTGCAACTCTCTCAAACTCTCTTTTTGGGTCCATCTCTGTTCTTTTACACCACAGCATCCTCCCTCACTCCTTCCAACATTAGCAGGATTCCAGGCTCTTCAGATCCAATGACAACCATCTTTTCCCAAATGATAGGAGGAAAAATAAGTTAGTCAGTTCCATTGACTGTGTTTTGTTGATCAGTATCCAGTCCTTGGAGTAGTTCCAGAAGCATTATAGGATCAGTTCAATGTACATGGATGGAAGGCAAGATGGATGGGTAGATGGAAGGAAGGAAGGAAGGACGGAAGGAAGGAAGGAAGAAGTGATGAATAAAAGGAGTAACAGAAGATGGATGGGCAGATGGGAGGAAGAAAAGATGAATGGAGGGGGAAAAAGAGAGAGGAAAGATGTCTAAATAGATAGAAGGAATAGATATGGAAAAAAGGAAGGATGGATGGATAGAGGGAAGAAAAGAAAGGGTGGAGGAAGGAAGCAAGGAAAGGTGGATAGAAGGAAAGAAAGTGAGGATAGAAGGAAGGACAGACAGAAGGGTGCATAGAAAGAGGTATGCTGGGAAGAGGGAAGGAAAAGAAGAAGTGAGAAAGGAAGGAATGATGTATGCAAGGATGGTGAACAGATGGATAGATGTCATGGGTACACGGGTGGATGGATGGTTGGATGGGTGGGTGGATGGGTGGATGGGTGGGTGGGTGGATGGATGGATGGATGTCATGGGTACATGGGTGGATGGATGGATGGATGGATGGATGGATGGATGGATGGATGGATGGATAGATGGATGGATGGGTGGATGGGTGGATGGATGGTTGGATGGATGGAT